AACCTATTTTTTCAGGTAATAAAACTGCAATGCCTGCTTTTTTCTTAGTACCATTTGCTTGGTATAATTTTTTCCATCCTTTCACCTTAAGAGAGTGCCTGTCCTTGAGAGTGAGATGAGTTTCTTGTAGACAAGAAAAAGATGGGTTTTGTTTCTTAATCCATTCACCTAGTTTGTGTCTTTTGACTGGAGAGTTCAGTCTGTTAATATTTAAGATGTGTATTGAATCCTGTCATTTTTATTTCTGTTCACATTCTTGATAATAGCTGTACTTTTCCACAGTTATACCTTCATCGAATGTCTTTCTGCAACCCCTTGGGTATAGTCATTCCTTTCTTCAGCTCTTTGAATTGCTTCTAGAACTCTCTGAAGGGCTGGTTTTGTAGACATGAATTCCTTCAGCCTGTTTATATCATGGAAGATTTTTCTTTCCCCTTCAACTATAATAGACATTTTGGCTGGGTATAGTAATTTTAAAACTGGGAATACTTTGGTCCAGGCTCTTCTGGCTTTCATAGTTTGCACTGAAAAGTCAGCTGTAATCCTAATGGGTTTTCCTTTATATGTGACTTTTTATTTTGCAGCTTTCAGTATTGGCTCTTCTATACGCTTAGTGTTTTTACTCTGATGTGTCGTGGAGAGTTTCTTTTCTGGTCCTGTCTGTTTGGTGTTCTATATGCTTCTTGTATTTGTATGGGCATGTCTTTCTTTAATTTGGGGAGTTTTCTTCCACAATTCTGTTGAAGATCTGGTCCATGCCATCCATTATCTTGGGATTCTTTTCCTTCCTGTATGCCTATGATTTTTAAGTTTGGTCTTTTTATGGTGTCACACAATTCCTGCATATTCCATTCTTGTGATTTCTTAAATTTTTCATAATCTTTACTGTAGTGGTCTAGTTCATCTGCTTTATCTTCCAGTCTTGATACTGTTTTCCATTTCATTCATCCTATTGTTGAGGCTTTCTACTAGGCTTATGTGGGGATATGTTATTTTGGTTTTTCATGTTATTATTTTTTCTCTGATTTTGACATGTGAATTTCTTTTGTAGTTTCTGATTTTTGTGTGAGACTCAAGCTTTCAAGTTTAATTCTGCTCCTTTTTGTAAACTTTATGTCCCTTTCTGTTTTACTTTTTGGGCATGAAAAGCTGGTTCATCTAAGCTTCCAGTTCTCTCTTTTGGTTTTATGATGGAGTGGCCAGACTGCTTTTGTCTTCAGGAGTTCCCACAGAAGCCCAAGTCAGATGAGGATCAGATGCTCTCAGGCTTTCTCCTAAGGTCTGGATCCCTCTACGAAAGAGGTTGTCCTCAGGAATTTGGGGGTTGGATTGGCCTGGGAGCAGGGCCCAGGAAAAATGTTGGTCTTGGGCAGCTGGTGGCCATGCCACCCAGAGATGCAAAGGGAGATGGGGGTGGGAAGAGGCCCCAAGGGCTCTTGAGGACCAGGAGAGAGGTTGGCGGATTGTGCAGGCCCAGGGAAGCAGAGAGGGGTGAGGGCGGGACCAGGCCCAGAGGGTTCCTGGGGACTGTGAGAAGGAACTGGGTTTGTCTAGATGCAAGGGATCAGGAAGCAGTGGTTGTACCCAGGGAAGCAGAGCGGGGTGAGGGCGGGACCAGGCCCAGAGGGTTCCTGGGGACTATGAGAAGGAACTGGGTTTGTCTAGATGCAAGGGATCAGGAAGCAGTGGTTGTTCAGGGCATAAAGGTCAGCCCAGGTGTCCAGGAAAGAGGCTGGTGTGTTGTGCAGCCCAGGGGAGCAGCAGAAGGTGAGAGCAGGACCAGGCCCAGAGGGCTCCTGGGGACCATGAGAAGGAACTGGGTTGGTCTGGATGCAAAGGATCAGGAAGCAGTGGTGGTTTCCCCAGTGTCTGGGGTGCCAAGACAAGGAATGGGACAATACCCTGGCTAGGAGGAGAGCGGTATTTTTTTAAGTATCCTTGAAGAGAGAATGTCTCAGCGAGAACATTCAACTCAAATGCTTCGTTAAGCACCATAGGTAATAAAATGGCGAGCAAACAGGCTGAGTGACATTAAGGCCTCCAAATCTACAGGACCTGGGGACTTGCTACTGTACACAAAGAGGTGTCTGTAGTCACAGGGTAAGGTTGTTCATGGGGTCCTCTGGTCTACCTCTGCTATGCTTCAACTCTAACCAAGTTCCTTCCAATGCTAACTGCACTGCAAGAAGCTCCTGTCCCTCAGGGCTGCCTTCTGAAAGGCATGTGCTAGGAGCCTGAGGAATTGTGCTCCTGGCTCTGCCATTTACTAATAGGGAAGTCTGGGAAAGTAGCTAACAATTCCACTCTGACTTCCTCCCCTGTAAAGCAGGGAGACCATCAGCTACCTCACATGGCTGTAAGGACCACCTGAGACAAAAGATGAATGACTTACAGCTAGGAATAGCCCAGGCACAGAGTCAGAACCGAGGCTTCGAACCAGGTGCCTGTGAGTACTTCAGAAAGTCACTTTGATGCCCAGCTATGGAAAGTTTGAGTGCTCATCTGCCGTGAGAGACAGGCCACAGCAGTTCTGAAGACAGGCAGTGGTGCCAAGGCACATACTGAGCTTAGTAGGCTGCGAGGTGTGCAGGGAACCAAGCCCTGAGCCAGCCTGCAGGCAGCCCCTGCACTCTGCCTCAGCTGGCTGTGTCAGCCTCCAAGGTTGCCACTGACTACCTGGGGGAAGAGTTCCCTTTCCAAGGCACCTCACAACTTCCTGACATATTCACCTGCCCCAAGCTGCATGCAAAGCCACTGTCCACTGAGCATGCCCACTGGGATTCCTTGCCTACTCCTCTCCACCTCATTTGATCACCAGCTTAGCAAGGCTGGTCTGATCTAGTCAGTCAAACAGCAGCCAGCCAAGAAAGGAGCCTGTGCTGGATAGCTTTAGTGTCAACTTGGCACACCTGGGTTGAGGGAGCCTCAACTGGGGAATTACCTTCATTGGACTGGTCTGTGGCCATATCCATGGGGCATCCTCTTGATTATTGAGTGATGTGGGAGGGCCCAGCCCACTGTGGGTGGTGCCACCCCTGGGCAGGTGGGCCTGTGTTGCATAAGAAAGCAGGCTGAGCAGGGTTCAGGGGAGCAAGCCAGTAAGGAGTGTTCCTCCATGGCTTGTGCTCTAGTTCCTGCCTCCAGGTTCCTGCCCTGAGTTTCTACCTTGGGCTCCCTGATGAACTGTGGCCTGTGAGATGTAAGACAAATAAACCCTTTCCTCCCCAAGTTGGTAGTGGTCAGAGTGTTTTGTCACAGCAATGGAGAAACAAACCAGGACAGAACCTGAGCACAAAGAACACACCCTGCTCTTCCCTACCTTCCTTCTGCCATCTTCAGGCCTTGACCTGTGCTTGCACTGCATGAAGGTCTGACAGGGATTGTACAAGTGTGTCCCAGAATAAGTGTGTCATCTTTAATCCCAATCTCGTTTGTTGATTCATAGATGCACATATGCCTTCATTCAAGAAACAGCTTCTAAGTGCTTATTTTATGCCAAAGTACTAACTACTCCAGTTTCAACAATGTGTAGAGATTCAGGCCCTGTCCTTAAATAGTTTACAGGTTGGTGGGAAAAGCAAGTGAATAAGCCATTGGAATACAGTCTGAGGAGACAGCATGGTAGGGAAGGAGAACAGCTGTGGAGGCAAATGGGAAGGTGCCAGATTACATTCTGGGAGATGGAGAAGGCTTCCAGGAGGAAGTAGCATCTAAGCTTTAACATAAAGGAAGACTATGAAGGACAGTGTTTTGGCAGAAGGAGGAGTGTATACAAAGGCCTGAAGACAAGGGACTGACCAATACTCAGGCCCTATATAGAGCCCTGCGCCAGGGCAGCTCTAGGAGAGCCAGGGCTGGGCATCTCCTCTTTTCTGAGGATCACACAAAGATCTCACGCTCCTCTTGATTGTCCTCAGCTGCACAACGAGGGCCCTAGCATGGTCGTGTTTTGTTGGTAAGAGCCCAACAATTACACTTTTTTTTTCTTATGGTACGATGTTACAGAAACTTAATTTTATTTAAATAATTTGCTCATAGTTCATGAACAAGTCTGGTTCTCCTGTGTCCTCATCTCTGCAAAGGCAGTAAAGTAGGTCAGAGAGTGAATGTTGACTTTGACCCAAGTTCTATGTTTAAATTCTGCCCCTGTCTCCTACTAGCTATAAGGCCTAAAGCAAATCACTGTACCATTAATAAGCCACAATTGCTTTAAACAAAAAACAAGGATTAAAAAAAAATCTTACTTTAAAAGAGGGCTACAACAGGTATCAATAAGCATAATGCGTAACTCATGGGATGTGCTGAGAAAGCAGAAAACAGTACAGCCCATGCCTCCCTGTCTGGAATTAGCATTCATCACTTCCTACCTAGCCAAACTCTCCCACAGCCAGCTAAATGCTTCTGCAACTAGCTCCTGCCCCAACGTGCCTTCTCCATTAAAACTTACATTATCTCTTTACCAGGGAAGCCCCCCATCTCCACTGGAACATCTTCCCTAGCCACTGAGGCAGGAGAAGGAAGAGAAGGCAGATTCATATTCTTAGTCACTTTTATCTCTCCAATGCCTAGTGCATGGCCAAGTATTTTTATTAACTTAAAACCAATATGGTTGTATAAAAGCCAAGTATTATAGAAAAACAAAACAATCACATCTGATTATTTTAAAATATCACATCTGATCATTAAACTCTTCATCTTTAGTTCAAATGTCTGGCTTTATAATATCAGAGGCAATCAAGAGAATCAAAAGTCTCTTTTCCCTCCTAAGAGGCTATCACAAGTGGCCCAGTATACACGACATTGCACTAGGATCACAAGTGTCTAGAAGACATTATTAAGATAAGACATATGTTTAACACATACATATGTTTAACCCAATTCTACAAGAGCAGAATTTTGTATATCGCCAAGGCATAATTTCCTTATCAGTTAAAAAGTAATCTATAGCTACTGTTCCTAGACACAAGTCCAGTGCCATGTGAGAGAATGTCCAGCCTTACCTTCATCTCAGGGTACATATAGCGGTGGATGGAAGGCAGCCAGTAGACAGGGGGCAGGCTGCTGCCCCTCCCAGGGCCAGCATGGAGTACCCCTTTCTTATCTTCATAGAATGCGGCCAGATGAGAGTAATGTCCCGGCATCTCCAGCTGGTGTCTGCACAACATACATGTGCACGGTGAAAACAGTTCTGCCCCTGTCCCCAGTGCAGCAGTTTATCCCCACCTCCTGGGCTGAAGGCCCAGATACACTCAGAAGGTCTGTGCTTGGAGGTTGCCCTGATGCGTCCTTGGGTGTTACAGGAGATTTTTAAGAAAGCTCAAATGTGGGGCCTGATGCCCCTTGACAGCACCATGTAACATGTTCTCTCTGACATAGAAAACAGACTTAGCAGGCTGCATCTAATGTGTTTTTGAGCAAGTTATGCTGCTTCTCGGAGAATGGCTGTTTATGAGAAGAGGTAACCTTGGAAGACCACATAGTCCCTGCCTAGAAGTTGAGCTATTGGTAAAACACATGATTGCTTGCTCTTACTAGTTTTTGTTTCTTTGTTTTCGGCGACATAGTGTCCCTGTAGCTCCAGGGAGCTTGTCTGCTCAGGGTAAAAGCACTGCCAACTGATCTTTCAGATCAAGAAAATGGCAGTGAGGACCAAGACCATTTGGACAATGCAGAATCCTGCCACCAAATCAAGGCACTATATTTAATGGGAATGTTGGAGGTTGACTTTTGTTCCTTCCCAAAATGTATGCTGAAATCCTTGCCCTCACCTCAGTACCTCAGAAGGTGGATGGGTCTTTAAGTAGGTAAGTAGGTTAAAGCAAGGTCTTTTGAGTATGCCTTAATTCAATGTGACTTAAAAAGGAGGAAATTTACATGGGGGGGGTGGCGGAAACAGGGGAGAGGGAGAAAAGTGTGATGTAGGGGGAAGAGGAAGGGAGAAAGAAAGAGGGTAAGAGCCATGTGAAAATGAAGGCAGACATCAAGGGATGCACATATCAAAGAACCCAGAGATTGCCAGCAAACTATAGAGCCAGGACAGACATGGGAGCCAAACCTGCTGACAATGCCACTGATTTTTTACTCCTAGTATCCAAGATAATTTATAGAATGCATCTTCATTTTCTGCTTGCTGATTTTCCTACTCACAAGGCAGTAATAGACAATACAGAACATAGACTCTCAGATATAAACTCACAGTTCAGAGATGAATGTTACCCAGCTCTTGTATGGAGGCCTCAGAAATGTAAACTCACTATAGGTTTTGTAATATATCATCAAACCATGATACCAACAGAAACCAAAATAGTACTATAGCAAGTGCTGGGAGACAAGATGGTTTTCAAGGATGAAGATACTGAAAGGAGCTTATCAATAAGGGCAGATAGCTTTAAAAACGACCACACTGAAATGCATGCCGAGCCACTCATGGGAACTGCAAGAGTCATGTAAACAGTGGAAATCACTGGCTCAATGTATGTTCTTGATATGAAGATACTGGTGTGTGAATGGATCCTATCAAGGAGTCCCCTGCAGCCCCAGCCACACTGGAATTCTCTTTAGGCCCACAGCACATGTAACCATGCAGATGCCCAGTGCAGTGACCCCTGCGGTAATCCATCCACTGTAAGAATCAGTGATACCTCTGTCAGCAATCCCACTTTACCACTCTGATGTATTCTTTAGTGGTCTATACAAGTGTGTCTTCTGGCTTGGGAAATACAAAAAAGCAAGCATTCCCATTCACTGCTGGTACCACCTTTCTGAAGGTGGTATAATTTGTATCAAACTGTAAACTGTGTATATAGCCTCTGACCCAATGATTCCATTCCTAGGAAATCCCTAGGCTATAAAGAACTATTTAATGGATGCGAATTCATTTATTTAACTATACTGTCTATAGTTATGAAATATAAGAAACAACCTTAAAGCCCAATAACATTGAAATAGTAAAAGAAATTATGATGCACCAATAGCACACCTCTACCAAGACAGTGTAGTGGGGGTATGGGCGGAGATCAGAGGTCAAACTCGCCACTGTTTCTGAGGATGCCATCCATACTGACCTGGTAGTAGGCTAGGCTGGCTGCAAAGTGAGTGCCAGGAGTCCACCTGTCTCCATCTCCCACAAGCACGGACCACCACACCCAGCTTTTTTCTTACTTGGGTTTATTTCTAGAAATTTAACATACTGATATGCCCACATAGATATCAGTGGGTATTCTGCACAACATCATATCTAACAGCAAAAGACTGGAAACAAACAAATGTCTGTCAGAGATGGGCTTGACGAATAAAGTTCTACACAGGGCACTCAATGGGACTGTAGAAAACAACACAGAAGCTCTCGCTGTACCCATGTGAGATCTCCTATACTGCTTAGTGAAAAAGGCAAGGTGCAAATGTGTAACATGCTTCCTTTTGCATGAAGTGTGGGAATAGATATTTTTATCTGTGTATATAGGTACACAAATTTTAGGAAGATGCTTGAGAAATTAATAGTGAAGTTGATGGGTTGATATGGGAATTGGGTGAAGTCTACCTTTCATTGGGTCAGAGGCTATATACACAGTTTACAGTTTGATACAAATTATACCACCTTCAGAAAGGTGGTACCAGCAGTGAATGGGAATGCTTGCTTTTTTGTATTTCCCAAGCCAGAAGACACACTTGTATAGACCAGTAAAGTGGTAGAGACTGCTTTCTTCTCCCTTTAGTATAGAACCCTCCAAATTTTAGATGCACATCCTCTCTAGGACTACATTTCCCAGAATTCCTTATTGCTAGGCACGGTCAGCAACCAACAACCAGCCCACTGAGTGTGTGCAGAAGCAATATGCTGAAGTCCTGAGGTTTTTGTGTCAATCACCCTTCTTACTGGTTGGAACATGATATGATTACAGTGAGTCAGCTTCCACCAGGATGAGGACATCACACTGGACAGGTAAGGCAGAATGAGCTATGTCCCAGAATGACCTTGCACCATCACCACCCACAGGAATGCCTGCCTCTCTCCCTCCCTCCCTCCCTCCCAATATGCTGAAGTCCTGAGGTTTTTGTGTCAATCACCCTTCTTACTGGTTGGAACATGATATGATTACAGTGAGTCAGCTTCCACCAGGATGAGGACATCACACTGGACAGGTAAGGCAGAATGAGCTATGTCCCAGAATGACCTTGCACCATCACCACCCACAGGAATGCCTGCCTCTCTCCCTCCCTCCCTCCCTCCCTCCCTTATTTTGGGGTCTCATCTTTGTAGCTTAGCATGTTTTAGCTACAGCAGAAGTTAGTACCTGGAAATGAGTTACTGCAGAATCAAGAACCACATTGTGCTACTCGTTTAGTAGTTGAAGGAGGGGCACACAGACACCCACACAGACACCCACACAGACGCACAGACACACACACACACACACACACACACACACACACACACACACACACACACACACACACAGAGCTGTTCCAGGAAAGAAAGCTGGTGAAACTCCAGTGAGTTAGAACACAGAGCCTGTGTCATCTGAGTTAACAGCCTATGAGAGCATTTTGTTAATCACATGCAATTTAAGTACTGTTTGGTGATAATTGCCATGGTCACATAATTGATTAAAATTCAGAGGTACTTTTTATGTTGCTATTATGTATTCATGTGGTATAATTAACAAAACAAAAACATACGGGGGGGGGAAAACAACATTCATGTAAGTTCACTGTTTCTTGTTGACTCTAGTGAAAATATGTAAGACTGCCCAGTTTATAAGCAGAAATAGGAGATAGAATTTACTTAGGGTATGATGTTCTAAATTTTACACTATAAATCAACTGAGCCCTAATAATTTAGACTTCCTGAGGCTGAAAACACAACTTCCTCTGTACTGAGAAGAATCTTGCTCATACTCCAAAGTGTTCTTGGACAGAGAAGGAATCAGGCTATTTGTAAAGATAAATTTTAGGGTACAGCCTCTAAGTAGTTAACTTGAAAATGAGGAAAAGAAGCACGGGCAAAGGGCATAGGCTAGCTAACAGGCCATTAACTTTAAAACTGTCACCCAGAGGGCTGGATAAATGGCTCAGTGGTTAAGATCCACTTGTGCAATCATGAGGACCAGAGTTCAGATCCCAGAACCCATGCACAAAGCCTAGTATCCCATGCATATCTGTAATCCCAGTTCCAAAGGGGGCAGAAACAGGAGGCATGCTGGGGCTTGCTGGCTTCCAGTCTTGCTGAGAAAATACAAGTCCAGGTTCAGGGAGAAGAGACTCTGCCTCAAAGGAATAGACAAAAATGACAGAGTAGGACACCTGATACCCTCTTCTGGTCTTTGCGTGCGTGTGCACACACAAATTTTTGTTTGCTTTTTTTTTTTTTTTTTTTTTTTTTTTTTTTTTTTTTTGGCTTTTTGGCTTTTTGAGATAGGGTCTCCCTTTATCCCCAGCTTGCCTGGAATTCACTAAGTAGACCAGGCTGGACTCAATCTCACAGAGATCCTGCATGCTGGGACTAAAGGTGTGTGCCACCATGCCCAATTACAAATAAATATTTTAAAAACAACCAAACTTAAACAAAAAAGACTCAGAGGAGGTTTTTGACACTAGAGACTTGAAATGACTCAAAACAAAAAGAAACTCTACTTAGTTACACCAGGTGGAAGGGAAGAGAAATCTTTTCCATCTAGGATGATATTCACTGATACTCACAATGGCATTCTAAGTGTTAATGTTTTGGGTGATTTTTTTTATTCTTTTGTACTTTCATATCAACTTTTTAAATATTATGCTTATTGTTACACAACTAAATATTTCATGTTTAGTTTTCAAAGATGATTATCGTGACGTTATATTTCATAAGCTTTTAAGTAATGAAAAAGTGTAAACATGTAGGCTACAAAACTGAGCATGATGTCACATTCAAGGCTAGCCTGGGCTACATAGCAAGGCCTGCCTCAAAATGAATGAATAAATACATATACAGGATATAAAAACTTGTATGTAGTATTGATGCCAAATATACATATACATGATATACATTTATATGCTTTGTATGTGTGACAGACAAGGTCTTGCTATGTTGTTACTAATGTAAACTGAGAGCCTTGAATACCTGGGCTAAGCATCACCATGCCCAGCTGTGAAGTATATTTTATAAAAGGACCCAAACACATTTATCAGAAAACAGACTACAATTTTAACAGTGCCTCAAGGATTAGAGACACATTTCTGCATCACTTAAAGTATGATTAGGTTTCTTATATAATAAAATATATAAAACACAATAATAATTTTGCTGCTTCTGTTGAAAATCCTTCATATTAGCTCAAATAGTGATTTGGCATTTAAAAAATTTAAAGTCTGCCTGCCTACCTGGGGGAAAAGGCAATTTATAGCAGCTTAGTGCAAACAAAGATCATGTTCATGTCCAATTATACAATACCTGATTCAAAACAAGTGGTGAGGAAACTGAAAGCAAATCTTCCCCAGCTCCCACTATAGGAGAAAAAAAATCATTTCACAAGGCACTTGAGGAAAGAAAGGACCACCACCTGAGGCTTGACCCAGCACTACAGGTGCTCTTGGGGACACCTGTGTTTCTGTCCTACTGTCTCCATCTCCAGGGTCTCGCAGCACAGGCACCAGCTGGCAGATCCTGCTGCTGCCTCTGCACATACAGCAGCCACGTGGGAGCCACTTACCGAACCTGGTTCTCCAAGAAATGCATGTATCGGTAGAGCAGGGTATAGGAGGGAGAGAGGATGCCTACGGACTTCATTCGAGCGCCCCGCTCCAGCTCGCTCTCCACTGGCATGTTGGCAAAGCAAGCCAGACCAAAGAAGGGCCCCTTTCGAAAATAGCTGAAACGGACAAAATATGTGGTACAGTTCCAAATTAGGAAGAAAATAATTTTACTTTGCTTTTTCTTTACAATGCAGTCCCCCAAAAAACTATGTTACTATGTCCAGAGCCCACAAATAACCAAGTTCAGCCATTTAAAAAAAAAGTCATTCAACCTCTGAGGAGAGACAGGCAAGGCTTAGAGCTACTCCAGAGCTCCCCAGATGCAAGTCATGGACCAGAGTCAGCACGTGGTCTCTGGCAAGCTTGCTGCTAAATGCCCAAAGCCCTCGTCCTCTCCTGCACAACTAACGGCTTAGATGGGAGAACAAGAACCAAGGCTGACTGGCTGCCCTGCAACTCTTAGTCTCTTTTCTCAACATAAACCACAACTCTCCCAGCCCCCCAGTTTCTGAGAGTCTCAATGCAGCTGCCATTTTCTTTCTTGCTCCTTTTTCCTACTTAGAGGAATCATGGTTTCGACCCAACGAGGAGATTAATGCTACCAAATTACCTTTGAAGTATTTTCACAAAACTCATAATGCACCAGTTACACAGCACTAAAACTGGCCCTACTTAGAGCTAGAATTTCAAGTTTATCATAGGATGTCTTAGGTCACCCCACTCTTCTCTTACACTAAAACCAAACCTCAAATGAGGACCATACAATTTTTCAGCTGGTAGCAGAGGCTCTACAGTAGGGGTTGTTAGTTTGGGGAGGGGTCATGAAGCCCACTGAGAACCTGAGAGACACAGCCCTTCTTGCTGAAAACTGACAAAAACACAAAACTAGACATCTATTTTCAGAGCTTTCCCACACACTATCTGAAGACACCCCCCCCACACACACACATATACCTTGGTAAGATGTTCAGGAGAATGTGGGAGAGGGGATGAAGTAATAAGAGAAGATGGTTCAGAAGTACTCACATGAAATCAGACTGAATTTTATGGGACCCACTAGCCATAGACTTGAACTCAACACCTTCAAGGTCAATATCTTGAGGTAAGCACCATTCTACCATGTTTCCTGTGGGAGCAGGAGGATACAAGTTAAAAGAAACAATCATTTGGAGAGAAGAACTTAGCAGTTATCATAGATCACTTCTCAAAAGTGTGCTGTTCCCTGGGACTGAGAACCAGTGAGGCACTCAAAGGCTCATCCATTCCCCAACATGCAATGCCGAGGACCAGGAGCAGTGGCGGTAGAACTGCTTCAAATCCGGCGTCCTCTGGTTGACTGTCTTTAGCTATACACCCCCTTCTCATCTCTCCCCAAATGCGGCCCTTCTTCCAGGGTTACCTTTTGGTTCTCTGCCTCAAGGATTTGGGGACTTGGTCATTCACTAACTAATTTCTGAATTTCTACTAAGCTAGACGTTAGAAACACAAACTAGAGTTAAGACAGGGTCCTTGACCATGAAAAGATTAGAGTTCAGAGAGTAACAAAGAGACAAAATCAACAATTACAGCTCAGAAGGGTGAATGCTATGACAGAAGGGTGTTTTGGAATCCAGGGCCAATGAGCTCCCACCAGAGGGAGGGAATCAGAGAACTGCACAATGAGATGTGTAACCAACAGGCAGAGAGGACACTATAGAACAGCTCATCTGTTTTCAGTCATATGCAAATTTTCCCAAAATGAAAGACTAAGCTACTTGAGAGATTTCATTTTGGAGCAAACTTATTAACACTCCAAATCTTAAGTTTTCTAGGCATTAAAAATGGCATCAATAACCTTAGTCACCAGTGCATTCAGATAATTGTTTGGGGCATCAGAGAACACAGTCCATTCTATGACACAGCAGACAGGATAGAGGATTATCCAGCCCCACACCCAACAGCCCAAGGCACTTTCAAGTAATTCATTTTGCAGAAAATAATCACAAACCCATCCAACTAATGAATTCACTGCAACAAAAACCATGAAAAGGAGGGAATTAATTTTTCATAAAACAAAAGCCAGAATGACATTGTATTTATTGGGTTAAAGATAAAACATGTTCTAAAAGAGCCTGAAGCTTGGGAATACAGGGAAGTTTTTGAAGCATCAAGTTCCCCCTCATTCCTGTATTTTTTTTTTTTTTTTCCTTTACCAAACATGTATATCCATCCACATTCCAGGCAGGGTTTCCTTGAGGAATGTATCCAAACAGGTGGGAACTTATTAAGGCCAAGGGGCCTACCCCAAAACTACAGAGGTAGAAGTGATCTTGGGATGATCTTTTGCTTTGTCTTTATGGTGCTGAGGATTGAACCCAGAGACTTGTGCATGCTAAGCAAACTTTCTACCACTGATCATACTGCCACCTCCCATCCTAGGGATACAGAATCAGTCTCTCCCCTCATCCTGCCACAAGGTAGAAGGCCCTGCATGGAACTCTGAGCGACATGTGAACAGAATGGAAGGACAGCCTGGGACAGAGCCATAATTGTCCCTAAGTAAGCTGCTCTCAATCAGCCAATCAACCTGCATCTTAAGGCCCTCACTGTACCTTCCTTCCTCATTCCATTCCCCTGGGTTTATTGTTGTTTTGTTTTATAGGTTGTTGTTTTAAACAGCACTTTTGTAGCCCAAACTGGCCTTAAATCTGCTATGTGGTCAAGGCTGACCTTGAACTTTTGATCCTCTTGCCTCTATCTCCTCAGTGCTGGGATTCCAAGCATGCACCACAATACCTGATTTATGTGATGCTGGGGATCTAACCTCAGGCCATGTGCATGCTAGGCAAGCGCTCTAGCGAGTAAGCCCTATCCCTAAGCCCTCGCCAGTTCCTTATGGGGGTCAATCAGCTCGAAAAAAAATTTCTTTCCCTCAACCCAGAACTACTCAACAAGTTGTGAAAACTTCAGTTTACCTAAACTTTGTATTGAAGCCTAATAATAAGCATAAGTTATAATTACACAACTCGCTAAATTTTGTCAAAGAGAGCATCCTGTATAAGCAGCACAGAAGATGAGGAAGTAGAAAGAGCCCCATTAGCATCCCCTCCAGACCCCCCAGGGCCATCCTCTTTAAGAGTTACCATCCCTCTGACTTCTAGCATCATGGATCAGCTTGGACTTTTAAAACTCTACAAAAGCAATCATAGTTGTGCTTTTGTTCAGTATTTTCATAAGATTTACCACACAGTGATAGATGTAGACGACACAGATTGATGTGACCATACATTACTTTTATCATTTGGGGGTAGCAGTTCATCGACTTAACTGTTGATGCCCATTTGAGTTAGTTCCAATTAAAAGCTATGGAGACTAGCCCTGCTGTAAACAGCTCTGTGCTTGTCATCTGGTGAACACCTGTGTGGTAGCTTTTGAATGCACTGACCTGGCTGAGTTGAACTACACTGCTCAGGATTCCCTTCATTGCATGTTTCCAGTTGGAATTTATTGTTGTTGAGACAGGGTCTCCCTGTAGCCCCAGCTGGCCTGGAATTCCCTACATAGGCCAGGCTGGTCTCAGTCTCACAGTGATCCACCTGCCTCTGCCTTCCGAGTGCTGAGATTAAAGGTATATACCACCATTCCCGGTTTTACAGTTGAAACCTGCAGGTGAATATGAAGCAGTAACCACTGTGCTCACATCTGGATGGTTGGTGCTAGGGCATCAGTTCACTCCATGAACTGCTGCTCGTCCACAGGCTCACTACAGAGGTGGGAACAGCAGAAAGGCATGCTGATGCTGCAGCCACCTTCCCCTGGGTCCTCCAACTTTAGGACCCCTAGGTTAGGTGTGTGTTCAGTTCCATAAAGAAGGACACTGAGGGCTGGAGAGATGGCTCAGTGGTTAAAATCACTGGCTGCTCTTTCAGAGGACTCAGGTTCAATTCCCAACACCCACACAGCAGCTAACAACCATCTGTAACTCCAGTTCCAAGGCATCCAACACCCTATTCTGACCTCTGCTGGTATTGCACAACCCAGGTGCACCTACCTCCAAAGCAGGTAATACACTCATGAAATAAAATAAATAAAATAATAAAATATTTTTTAAACGGGACACTGACTTCCTGCAGGACACCCACATTGCCAAGTTTGGGGGCAGGTGGCAGTGCACAGTGGCACATATCTTTAACCCCAGCACTTGGAAGCCAGAGGCAGGCAGATCTCTGTGAGTTTGAGGCCGGCCTGGTTTATATAAATGAGTTCCAGGCCAGCCAGGGCTACATAGACCCTGTCTCAAAAAAAAAAAAATAGGATTGGGGGCAGTGACAGACTGATGCAGGTCCCCACCCTCTTCTGAATTGCAGCTGTTTGGCCTCGTCCCAAGATCACAATCTTCCTCTACATCCATCTGCCAAGTAGACTCCAAGCTCTTACACAGACCATCTAATTGCCCCCACGATTACATAAGACCAAGTCCCTGCAGCAAATCTTTTTATATATGGCTTAGTTGCTCTGTTTCTCCGAGTCTAAGCTGACATAATACCCACACATTCCTGCTGCATAACCGCGAGCTAAGGAAACTTCAGTGATTCCAAGGCTAATGTCAACCAGGCTTCTGAAAGAGGAGTTTTAAATACTGTGAAATTGTTTTACAGCCAAATTTTCTTAGGTTAAACAAAAACAAATCATCATTTTTACTTTATGTGTATGAGTGTATACATGTGTATGCCTACATGTAAGTGCACCCATGTCACACGAGATGCCCACAGAGGTCAGAAGAGGGCATCAGATACCCCTGGAACTGGTTACATATGGTTGTTAGCTGCTGTATAGGTGCTGGGAACTGAACCCTGGTTCTCTGCAAGAGCAACCAGTACTTGTAACCACTGAGCCATCTTGCCAGCCCCAGAAAATCGTATTTTTTAAGTGTAGGACTTTACAAAACCTTTAATATGCCACTCAGCACTGCGAACTTCAATCAGATCAACAAGTGCTTAAAATTTTTCAAAGTCATTTGGATAATGATTTGTTGTTGAGGTTTTTGATGTCTGTGTGTTTGGAGGGGACTTATCTACAGCATCTTACACTATAGCCTAAGCTGATCTGTTATCAAAGTGCAGCCCAGGCAGGCTTTGAACTTGCAACAATCTGCCTGCCTCCCAAATGCCGGGATTACAGATTCACCATGCCTAGTAAGAAATCTTTATTTCTTTTTATTTGAATGAGTGTTTTGCCTGCATGCATGTAAGCACACCTAGGTCATGCAGCGCCTGCAGAGGCTGAAAGAAGGTTCGGATACCTTGGGGCTGAAGTTATGTACAGTTGTTAGCTGCCATATGGGTGCTGGGAACTGAACCCCAGTCTTTTGCAAGAGCAGCCAGTGCTCCAAACTGATGAGCCATCTCTCCAGTCCTGATAAACCTATTTTTAAGAAGCACCTTTGGCAACTAATTTTACAGAAAGCATTTTTTGGTGTTTTTAGACACACTGATATACCAGGAGCTGCAGGCTGTCCCTCAATATACAATCGTCCCCTCTTACATGGATTAGAACTACAAATTTTAGCTTTACACATGGTCCCAAAGGAAGACTGTTTCTCAGCCCTTCTTGCATGTAGGTGTGGGATATGAGCTGAAGTGAGGCATGTAGTTTCCAAAATGTGCCTAGAAGGGAAGGAACATGCTGCCCTTTCTCCATCCTGCTGCCTGGAATGTGGATAGGTAACACAGACCAACATGAACCCAGATCCCTGGATGGCCCTGCAGATCTGAGCCAATACTCCAATCTTTGGCAAGCGACCACATGAAAAAGAAACAAACTATCTAGATACCACAGATAATCTGGATCCCTGGCATTCATGACCAAGTCCGTGTCCCACTTAGTATAGGTGACCTAGAGGAAAAAGTCCTCATTGCTCAGGCTGGTTCTCCAAAGTCCTCCTCCTTTCTCCTCTGTATCTGGCCAGTGCTCAATGCACACAAATGGGAAGCATCTGTGGAGGGAATGGCATCCTGTCCTGTCTGCTATGCCCTTCACTGGCACATGGAGGTCAGCTCTTGTGTGCTGGGAGGCATGTCAGCAGCAGGATGGTGAACCGTGACTTGGGGTTCTTGCTCCAGAACCCCATTCTGGGTAGAGTTATCT